GGAATATTTCGCAAAATATTTTAAATGAATTTCCGAAAGTGAGTATGAGCTAATATGAAGATATAAAGTCCCCTGGGGCTACAGATATAAGGCCTTTGTACCCTCTTTCAGCACTTTCCTCCATGACCTTACCAAGCAACCACAAGGAAATCCAGAGAAAGCTTCCTTCAGGGTTCTTGGAGAAAGTAAACAGCAGCCAAAGCTAAATGTTCTCTATTTCTTCTACTGCCAAAAGCCTGCAGAGAAGAGTAACAAAACAGTCAATTTAGGACACTGGATGAAATTCAATGCAGCTGGGGAAAGGGAACCGGAAAAAAATCCCCAGACAACACTATTTTTAGAGGAGTGGAAAGAATATATGCCAGGTCTGCACAACTGCCAGAAGAGGAAGAGAAACACTTTTGAAGCTTATCCCGCAAAAAAACTGTGTTCACAGTACAAATAAGAGAACATTATATCTACTGTTCAGACACCAGTTTATGAAAATTTAAACTATATGATATGTAACAAGAAAAAATAACAGTAGATACAACTTGACAAACTGTAGGAGACAGATGCTCTCTAATTTAAACTATATGATATGTAACAAGAAAAATTAACAGTAGATACAACTTGACAAACTGTAGGAGACAGATGCTCTCTGGGGAACAAAGATTGAGAAAAATTCTCACACCCTAAATACCAGGTACCTCTCAAGAAATTTGAAGCTTTGGTGCACTGAAGGTAACCATGTAACAATAAACTTCAAACCCAGTTTAACTACTGGCTAGATTAATGCTAACCCTCACACTAAAGAACTAGAAAAAAAAATTCTTTGATCTCCAAGCATAAAACCATTTATCTCCATTCTCTTGTCCTGTACATGTTCAACATTCCACATAAATTTATGAGATGTATGACAAGGCAAATACACACAGTCTCAAGAGACAAAGTAAGCATACTGATACATTTTAAGTTATAAGTTTTAAAATGTATATTTTAAGCCTTAGGACAATCACTAAAATTTTTTTAAGTATAAATGATAAGTCAATAGTGGAGATGAAATGGAAACATTAAAATGCTCTGTTAAACCCATAGAAGGCAGTTTCTTCGTAGTGTCATTGGTCTATATATTTTGGTGTGTTTTTGCAGTGGCCAGTACTAGTTTTTCTTTCCATATTTAGTGCTTCCTTCAGGAGCTCTTGTAAGGCAGGCCTGGTGGTGACAAAATCTTTCAACATTTGCTTGTCTGGAAAGGATTTTACTTCTCTGCTTTTGATGCTTAGTTTGGCTGGATATGAAATTCTGGGTTGAAAATTCTTTAAGAATGTTGAATATTGGCCCCCTCCTGGGTTCAAGGTGTTCTCGTGTCTCAGCCTCCCAAGTAGCTGGGATTACAGGCATGTACCACCATGCCTAGGTAACTTTTGTATTTTTAATAGAGTCGGGATTTCACCATGTTGGCCCAAGTGGTCTCAAACTTTTGACCTCCAATAATCCACCCACCTTGGCCTCTCAAATTGCTGGGATTACAGGCATGAGCCACTGTGCCTGCCCCTTCTTTTTTTTGTACCATTTTTGTTATACATGTTGTATCTATATGTACTACAAATTCAACAATACATTGTTTAAATTAAATAATTATTAAATCTTATATGTCTATTAAGGAAATGACAAATGTAGAGCAAGTATATATTTATAGAATCTGTAATATATTTTTACTTGTCATTCTTGATTTTCTCCATTAGTTGCTGCAAATTCAAATTACCAACTAGTACCTTTTCCTTGTTCCAATGTAACTTTACTCTCACCCACCTCCTTTGTGTTATTGAGAAATATATATACAATTCCACAATACAATTGTATGCATATTGTTTTATACAGTTGGTTTTTTAATGCATTAAAAGGTGATTGGATAATAAATATGCAATTATGCAATTTAATTATCTACCTAGATACCTTTACTTATACTCTGTTCTTTGTGTGGATTTAAATTACTCTCTGATGTCACTTTCTTTCAGCCTGAGGAACTTTCTATAGCATTTTTTGTAAGATACCTTTGTTATCAACAAATTCTCAGTTTTTATTTATCTGGAAATATCGTTATTTCCTCTTTATTTTTGAAATACAGTTTTGCTTAACATTCGACTCTTGTTTGACACATTTTTTTCTTCTACTATTTTGAATATGTCATTTCACATTCCACTGCCTTTCAGCCTCCATTGTTTCTGAAAGTTAGCTGTTAATAGGGTTTCTTTGTACACAAGGAGTCATTTTTCTCTTGCTGCTTTCAAGTTTTTTGTTTGTTTGTTTGTTTTTGTTTTAAGCATGTTTACTGGGATGTGTCTGGATACAGATTTCTTTATCCTACTTGGAGTTTATTGAACTTCTGAAAGCATAGATAATATTTTCATCAAATTTAGGCAAGTTTTCAACCAGTATTTTAAAAAAAATTTTTTGTATTGCTTTCTTTCCTTTTCTTCTGTTATTTTGATTATGTATATTCTTGTGATTAATGGTATTCCACATTTCTTTGAGATTGTTCATACTCTGTCATTCTTTTTTTCTGTTTTTTTTTCTGTGTTGTTGCAATAATCTCCTTCTTGTTTTTCCAGCATTAGTCTCTCACACCCTCAAAATTGCTATATTAAATGAAGTCACATTAATATTTTTGAAACACTGCTTTACACTCATCACTCCCTAACTTGAAAACTTCTCATAACTCTCCATTGTCTATATTGCAGATAAGTTGATTTGCTTCTTTGTACCTCATCAACAGTATTTTCACAATTTCCCTTCATGAACCTTTTAATCTAGTCAAATTGGCCTGTCAATGAAACCAGTTTTAATCTTAACTTCTACAGCACTTTATGCTTATCACTCATTTCATTATAATAACTTATTGCCATTTTTACAAAATTTTTTAATATGCTGAATTTTAAGCCTCCAGAATTTAGTTTTTTAATATCATAACACTTGGCACAATGCTCTGAATGTTAGGAATAGTAGGAAATGTAATTGTTAATAATCTTCTTACACAAAACATGACATTTAATTATGTTTCAATTATTGACAGTCAGTATGTATAATCAAAGCACAAAAATTCTGTCCCATGAATAAACTGTTAGAGATGGAAATTGATGGGAAATGTTAGCTAAACAAGTAATTATATCATTATTCTTTTCCACTGAAATCAATTGATGACTCTTATGTATATTGATTAAAATGCCTTAATATATACAAATGACTGCATAGATACTGTTTGTTCAATTAATGGTTTGATAATTTAGTGAAGTGCTAGATAGAAAAGACATATAAACTAAGGGGAGTGAATCTCTTCCCTGGCTGTGTCACTTTTTAATTTCTCTCTATTCCCATATCATTACCAAAGTCAGTAATCTCCAACCATCTATTTCTCAGTCTTAGCACTATTTTTCAGACAAGTCCCTGAGCAAAAGTCTTCTCTTTGTAAGGCATCATGATCTACATATAATGTCAGCAATTCTATTTTACATATGGCACAGATAAGTATTTTTTTGTACAATGTGAATGATTATGGTCAATTTTATATTATTTGTTTCTTCTTTAGTCAACATAAGGTAAAATAAAGAAAAACCAATTTCAGAAAGCATGCCAAGCAGCAGATGTTGATTTGTTGTTTGTTAAGTCCTTGCCCTTTAAATAAGTTGAATAAAACTACCTAGATATCCTATTTGGATTTGCTTATGTCATTCTGAAGCTAATCTGAAAATTTAAACCTATGTGCATGTAAGCTTCTCTCTACATAATAGACATGTGACTATAAACAACTATGGTAATACATCAATAAATAAGGGTACTCACTGAAAAATAAAAAGAAACAAGAACTGCATTATAGAACACATTCCAATTTAATCAAAATGAGACATAAACTGAAAGCATAACTAGAAAGATAAACATGTTCTATGCAGAAGTAGCTTCACTTCTATTTCCTTCTCTTTTTGATCCTTTCTTCAAAATCTTATGGAGTCTAAACAGCACAACTCGTCCCTTATAAGAAATTATCATTTTTCCTTTATGCAAACTGAATGCATCATTAAAATGATTTTTAAAAATCATGAAATACAGTATCTACATTCATTGTCTAATGGAAGTTTTAAAAAATGTATTTGATGGAAATAGAATGATTTTGATAGTTCATTATATGCTTTACATAGCAAGTATTTCTCTGAAAGGGGCTTACATGTAGATAAAATATTGATTCTAGTATGGATTGTCATCATTGTCTTAGTCTATTTAATTCTGCTATAACAGTATACCACGCACTATGCAATTTATAAACATAGAGGTTTATTTGGCTTGTGATTCTGGAGGTTGGAAAATCCAAGATTGTGGGGCAACATCTGATGAGGGACTTCTTACTGTGTAATAACAAGGTAGAAGATAACACATGTCAAGATATTTGCAAGAGAGGGAAGGGGACTCAGCTAATCCTTTCATCAGAAACCCACTGCCATAATAACTAACCCATTCTCACAATAACTGTCTTAATTCATACATGAGAGCAAAGCCCCCATGACCTAATCACCTCTTAAACATCCTATTCTTCACCCTGCTGCATTGAGGATTAAGTTTCCAACACATGTGTTTTGGAGAACACATTCAAACCATAGCAATAGTAATACATTTCATTATATAGATAAGTATGTATGTGTGTGTCTTCAATTCTAAACTTATTTTGTCTTCAAACTTACATAATTAAAATAACTCCACATGAAATTAGATTTATGTGAGAAGAATATAAAGTAATAAAAGTTGTATAATTTTACAGATAATTATATAGCAGATAATTATTGCAACTCTAAAGATTATTTGCAAATTCAACAAAAATATTAGGATTCATAGACATGAGTTTATCCTGTTATGACAAACACATAATTACATTATTATTCCTCTATCTTTAAATTCCTTCAAATTTTTAAATTCTTAAAGATGAATAGAATTTAAATTAGATTTAATTAAATCTTGTGTTTTTCCTTTAGGAAAAAGTCAAAGAGAAGGAAGAAAATCTGAATCTTGTAAACCAATTCTTAAAGTAGAATACAAGACCTGCAAAAACAGGTATGCATTTTTAATTTAGGGAAAAAGGGATATGAAGCACAGACAAAAAGGGCAGATGATCTTTAATGTTAATATATTGTTTAAAGTTTTACATAATTATAAATATAAGTGGATCCTCTACATTAACAATAACTGACTTTTTGTTGCCTAATAGATGTGTCTCTGATGATTATTATTATGAATATTGCAAATTAAAAGTTAATTATTTGAGAATTCTTTTAAGCATCTAGATAAGTACTATACACACTAATTTTAACAGTAAAGGACTTTTGGCCATGCATATTATAAGTAGCAGGATTTATTAAGCAGAAGGAATATGTCCATTGCTATTGCATATGAAAGAACTAAATATGTAACCAAGTCTCTGCACGTTAAGATCTTACATTCTGAAGTTGGAAGATTACAGTTTGTTGGAAAGATAAAGTTATGTATATTAATGTAATAAAAAGTACTGAATTTTAAGATATTAGAAAAGAATAATATGAAGTAAAATATTATATTTAAAGCATGTTACATTGACTCCTTTACCATTACCCTTTGTCTTTTTTGATCTTTGTTGATTTAAAGTCTGTTTTATTAGAGACTAGTCTTGCAACACCTGCTTTTTTTGCTTTCCATTTGCTTGGTAAATTTTCCTCCATTTTTTATTTTGCACCTATGTGTGTCTTTGCTAGTTAGATGGGTCTCCTGAATACAGCACATTGATGGGTCTTGACTCTTTATACAATTTACCAGTCTGTGTCTATTCATTGGGGCATTTAGCTCATTTACATTTAAGGTTAATATTGTTATGTGTGAATTTGATCCTGTCATTATAATGCTAGCTGGTTATTTTGCCCATTTGTTGATGCAGTTTCTTCATAGTGTCAATGATCTTTTCAGGTTGGTATGTTTTTGCAGTGGCTAGTCCTGGTTTTTTCTTTCTATGTTTAGTGCTTCCTTCAGGAGCTGTTGTAAGGCAGGTTTGGTGGTACAAAATCTCTCAGCATTTGCTTGTTTGTAAAGGATTTTATTTTTTATTCGCTTATAAAGCATAGGCTGGATGTAAAATTATGGGTCAAAAATTCCTTTCTTGAAGAGGGATCCAAGATGGCTGATTAGGAGCAGCTCTGAATTGCAGCTCCCAGTGAGAGCACAGAGGGTGACAGGATGCCACATTTCCAAAAGGATTTTTATTGCCTACAGACCAGAAGATTCTCAGGTGGAGGATCTGCATGAGTTGCCAGTGCAGCTGTTTTGGCCAGCGTGGCGGGTCTCCACTCAAAATACTTACACGGGTCCCGGCACCATTTCAGCTGGTGACTGGAGGGCCTGGGAGACAGAGTCACCCATTCAACTGATAAAAAGGGAACTAAAACTGGGAGCCAGGCCAGGAGATTCCCAGGTGAAAATGCGCAATGAATCTCCAGCGTGGCTGTTTCAGCCAGCACAGTGGGTCACCACACAGGAAATCACACAGAATTGGGCACCTTTTCAGCAGGTGACTGGAATGCCTGGGAGACAGAGTTGCCCATTCAACTGATAAAAAGGGGACAAAAACAGGGAGCCAGGCCAGGAGATTCCTGGGCAGAAAAGCGCCACAACTCCCAAGTGCGGCTCTTTCATCTGCATAAAATCTCACACAAATCTGGGCACCTTTTGAACTGGTGGCTAGAATGCCTGGGAGACAGAACCACCTATTCAACTGAAAAAAAAGGGGGTCTGAGACAGGGAGCCAGGTGAACAGGCTCGGTTGGTCCCACACCCACAAAGACCAGCAATCTGAAACGCTCTGAATTGAGAGTCTCACAGCAAGCAGAGCTAAACACGGAACAGTCCAGCTCTGAAGAGGGGAGGCATCTGCCATTACTGAGGCAGTCCACCACTACTGAGGTGGTCCACCACTGCCGAGGCAGCCCACCATTGCTGAGACAGTCAGCCATAACAGAGAGAGTCCACCATTACAGAAGTGGGCTGCCATTGTCAAGGCAGTTCTGACTATACCCCTATAAACAGGACAGCAGGGAAGTTCACACGGCAGCTGGGCAGAGCCCACAGCAGCTAAGAAAAGCCTCTGCTGGCCAGACTGTGACTAGGCTGCCTCCTCACTGGGTAGGGCAGCCCTGAAAAGCAGCAGCACAACAGAAACTTATAAATAAAGCCCTACCTTCCCAGGACAGAGAACCTGGGGAAAAAAGGTAGTTATGAGTTCTGCTGCAGCAGACTTAAACATACCTGCTCGGCAGCTCTGAATGGAACAATGGAGCTCACAGCTCAGCACTTGAGCTCCTATAAAGAACAGACTGTCTCCTCAAGTAGCTCCCTGACCCCACATATCCAAAGAGTCACCTCAAAAAGGAGAGCTCAACTGACATCTGGTGGGTATCCTTCTGGGACAAAGATAGCAGGAGAAGAAACTGGAGGTAACCTTTTCTGTACTGCAGCCACTGCAGGTGATCCCCAGGCAAGCAGAGCCTGGAATGAATCTCCAGCAGTCCTACAGCAGAGGGGCCTGAGTGTTAGAAGGAAAACTAAGAAACACAAAGAAATAACTTTATCATCAACAAACTGGACGTCCACTGAGAGACTCTATCTGAAAGTCACCAACAACAAAGACCACAGGTAAATAAATCCACAAAGATGGGAAGAAACCAGCACAAAAAGGATGAAAACACCCAAAACCAGAACACTTCTCCTCCTACAAGGGATCAAAACTCCTCACCAGCAAGGGAACAAGGCTGGATGGAGAATGAGTCTGATGAATTAACGGAATCAGGCTTCAGAAGGTGGATAATAAGAAACTTCTCTGAGCTAAAAGAACATGTTCTAACCCAATGCAAAGAAACTAAGAATCTTGAAAAAAGGTTTGACAAAATGCTAACAAGAATAAAGAGCTTAGAGAGGAATATAAATGAATTGATGGAGCTAAAAAACACAACATGGGAATTTCACGAAGCATACACAAGTTTCAATAGCTGAATCAACCAAGCAGAAGAAAATATATCAGAGGTTGAATATCAACTCAATGAAATAAAATGGGAAGGCAAGATAAAAGAGTAAAAAGAAATGAACAAAGCCTCCAACAGATATGGGACTATGTGAAAAGACCTAATCTATGTTTGATAGGGGTACCTGAATGTGATGGAGAGAATGAATCCAAGCTGGAAAACACTTTTCAGGATATTATCCAGGAAAACTTTCCAACCTAGCAAGACAAGCCAATATTTAAGTCCAGGAAATACAGAGAACGTGACAAAGATACTCCTCAAGAAGAGCAACCCCAAGGCATATAATCTTCAGATTCACTAGGGTTGAAATGAAGGAGAAAATGCTAAGGGCAGCCAGAGAGAAAGGTCGGGTCACCCACAAAGGGAAGCCCATCAGACTAACAGTGGATCTCTCAGCAGAAACTCTACAAGCCAGAAGAGAGAGGGGGACAATATTCAACATCCTTAAAGAAAATAACTTTTAACCTAGAATTTCATATCCAGCCAAACTAAGTTTCATAAGCAAAGGAGAAATAAAATTATTTATGAACAAGCAATTACTCAAAGATTTCATCACCACCAGACCTGCTTTACAAGAGCTCCTGAAAGAAGCACTAAATATAGAAAGGAACAAGCAGTACCGGCCACTCCAAAAGCACACCAAATGGTAAAGAGCATGGACACAATGAAGAAACTGCATCAACTAACAGGCAAAACAACCAGCTAGCATCAAAATGACAGGAGCAAATTTATGGATAAAAATATTAACCCTTAATGTAAATGGGCTAAATGCCCCAATCGAAAGACACAGACTGGCAAATTGTACAAAAAGCCAAAACCCATCAGTGTGCTGTCTCCAGGAAACCCATCTCATATTCAAGGATATTTTGAGCATAGGCTCAAAATAAAGGGATGGAGGAAGATTTACCAAGCAAATGGAGAGCAAAAAAAGCAGGATTTGCAATTCTCATCTCTGATAAAATAGACTTTAAAGCAACAAAGATCAAAAGAGACAAAGAAGGACACTACATAATGGTAAAAGAACCAATGCGACAAGAAGTGCTAATGATCCTAAACATATACACACCCAATACAGGAGCACCCAGTTACATAAAGGAAGTTCTTAATGACTTAGAAAGAGACTTAGACTCCCACACAATTAATATTGTGAGACTTTAACACTCCACTGTCAATATTAGACAGAACAACAAGACAGAAAATTAACAAGGATATCCAGGATTTGAACTCAGACCTGGACCAAGCAAACCTATTACACATTGCAGAACTCTCCAATCCAAATCCACAGAATATACATTTTTCTCAGCATCACATCACACCTACTCTAAAATTGACCACATAATCAGAAGTAAATCACTCTTCAGCAAATGCAAAAGAACAGAAATCATAACAAACAGTCTCTCAGACCACAGTGTAATCAAGCTAGAACTCAGAATTCAGAAACTAACTCAGATCACACAACTTCATGGAAACTGAACAACTAGCTCTTGAATGTTGACTGGAAAAATAATGAAATGAAGGCAGATATAAAGATACTCTTCAAAACCAGTGGGAATGAAGACATAACATACCAGAATCTTTGGTACAAATTTAAAGCAGTGTCTAGAGGAAAATATATAGCAATAAGTACCCACATGAGAAGCAAGGAAAGATCTAAAATCAACACCCTGTCATAAAAATTGACAGAGCTAGAGGAGCAAAAAAAAAAAAAAAAAAAAAAACTCAAAAGCTAGCATAAGAGAAGAAATAACTAAGATCAGAGCAGAACTGAAGGAGATACAGACACACACACACACAAAAAAAAAACCCTTGAGAAAGTCAATAAATCCTAAGAGCTGGTTTTTTGAAAAGATCAACAAAATAGACCACTAGCCAGATGAATAAAAAAGGAAAGAGAGAATAATCAAATAGATGCAATAAAAAATGATAAAGGGGATATCACCACAGATTCCACAGAAATAGAAACCACCATCAGAGATTATTACAAACAACTCTATGCACATAAACTAGTAAACC